ATTTAAAAGTCAATACATGCCAATGGCACAGGAAAAGCTCTAAGAAAAAAATAGGACATTTGCATCCAAGGGCTGCATTAACTGGTAGTTTTCCACATTAAGTTATCTGTTATCAAAATCAAATCCAACACACCTAGCCCTGGAGGAGAACACTTCCACAGCAACAGATGCTGCTGCAGATGTAATAGGACTAATGATGTCCCAGCTCAGGAATACATGTGGAAAGTTGTAGGTGACTTATTTGACAGAAAAAATGCATGCAATGACTTTTGTTTGCTCAATTCTTTTAAAATTTCTTTTACTTGTAGTGGGAATGAAAGACAGCAAAGAATATCTCTTCTAAAAAAAAAAAAATTCCTTTTATATGGCTGTTCTGACCTGAATATGCTTGAACAGACTTCATGTCTGGAGAACAGGTACTCCTCACATGAACGGGAACATTAACAGCAACATTAAGTCTGACCAAAACCAAAACAAATTTAATTTCAACCTGTCTTACCCAGAGAGCTTCACTTAAACACTTTTTCTCCAGGTAACCTACAACTCCCTTATTTGCTAACTTTGTACCATGCAAGGCCACGTGCATTTTTTTTCAGCAAGATAATGCTTTAAATTACATTTACTGTAGTAAACACGTTAGACACTGTTCCCAAGAAAGCAGGCACTGAAGAGAATACAAGTCCTTTCCAGCTGTAGCAATGACCCATTAACACTGGAAATCATAAAAAAAGAGGATAAACAGGTGACTCAAGAGAGACTGTTCAGCCAAACCAATTTGTAACAAAGCTCAAAAGTTGTAGAGCCCTCAGGTCAGGGCAGTAAGACGCTGTCCGGAAGCCCACTGACTTAGTGTCTTTACATCATGCTGGCAACACTTCTAATACAAGAGGGGTGGATACTGCTAATGCTGGGTATAACTGAGGGATACAGTGTTTACCAGCTAAAAGTCTACCACTAACCATACAATATGAAAGCAGGAGAGCTACTAATTCGGGAGAGTTTATATTCAATAACATACAGCAAACCATATCCCTCTCCTGAGCCATCCGTACCAGAGGTCAGGAAGGACAGACAGGCCATTTACTGTTTTGGGAGATGACCATAACAAAGAGTAAGCACCAGTGTGAAGAGGGGGAACATCAGAACTAGATTCTCAGCCTGTGACTATGCCCACACAAGGAACGGAGGTGCAGGGACCAGACTGAGCTAGGAAGGGGTACACCACTGTCACTTAACCCTGGCTATGCTGTGTCTCTGTAAAGTCCCATTAGGCTTAGTGTAAGAAAAGCATAATCCCAAGCTGGAAACAGTATCTAAGAGGAGGCCAATAACACATTTGCACTCTCTGCCCTGCTGCAGTATCTATTTCTACTCTGTTTTCTGCAAGCACATGCAAAAAAAACCCCCCAGAAACCCTTTGCTCTCAATGTACAATTTTTTACAACCACCCTTCTTCCCAAAAAAACCTTGTATGAAAAATGTCAATCTGTTTGCTGCTGTCTGTCTGAGGCATTTCCTGATCCCAAGAACTGGTATTTGAAACCTGGACAAAGTTTGCTTTTCTGTGGCTTAGGGTAGGATCTACCATCTCTCAACTCCCTTATCACTTTACCCTGTGCGTGGGTGATGGGATATGTCCTGCCAGATCTTCTTGTTGCAACAAAGCCGCCAAGACTGTAAAGTGGGTGATCAGGGCATCCCCAGGAATGTGAATCTCCCTGTCAGCCTCCTGCCCGCTAACAAACCTGAGACCAAGGTGCTGGGCTCAACCTGGAGCCTACACCAGCCCAAGGAGGGCACTCCCTAGGAAGCTCTACCTGACAGGACCTCGTAGGCATGCCCAAATCTTACCTCTCAGCACCCAGATTCAGTAATTCCCACCAAATTCTGTTTTACTTCTTTCCTCTCAACTGCCTCTGCATGGTTCCTTCCTGCCTACTCTGTATGAGATCAGACTCCAAAATGAAAAAATAGAACAAGTTTTCAGGCTGCAACTGGCTTTGTAACACAGGTGCTTATGGCTGTAAGTACAGACAGACAACAGCTCTCTGCATTGCCAGTATGTCACACTGAAAACACACACCTTTCGAGAGGCAAGGCTCCGTTCAGGCAGGCCCGTCTACAGGAATAACTATTCCTGTAGTGCCATCTTCTGGCTTAGGGTGTAGGAACGCTATAGCTGAAAATGGGACTGATGAAAAGAAAGGTATTTTTTTTAATCTGTTAAAAACCAACAGGTTTAGACTATGGCTCAACATACGCAAATTCTTTCAACAGATTATGTGCAATTCACCTTCTAGTAAATTATTAGTTTGAAAATTACAAGATTTTGAAAAATATATTCTGGGACAATCTTCTTTGCGTTTTGAGACATTATGATCTTGCTTTTCAGCTTTTGTTCTATTTCTTAACAAACATCATGGCTCAAAACTTAGTTTCTGCTGACAATTTTTGTGCCATCTCATGATTTTGTGCCTGCAGATCCCAAATACCATGTATGGAGTGACAAAAGCATATAAAATCCCATTGATGTGGATTGTATATAATTTTAACCCAATCCTCATTACAACGATGATCGGTAACATCTTTTTTCTACTCTGTATCTCAAGGTTTTGTTGGTACAAGAAGCAGACAGGAGCTCCTCTCTCAGTGAAGGATGCCCATTTACAGGTCAAAACTTTCCCAAACGGTTGACTCAGGAAAGTACTGTCCATCAGGGAGGGCTGTGCCCCACGCAGCTGTGCCCCACGCAGGAGGGCGACCACACAAGCCGAAGGGAGGACGAACTACGAGCAGACTGTTAAATCTCTATCCTTTCCCCCACCTTCAGTGGTATTCTCTTCCTGAAAGTAATACTGCCTCCATCCTTCGGAAAGCCCCTGTACATAATAGTCATAAACCACCTTCTTTAGGGAAGCAGACCTCAAAAAAATTTAAGAGTGTTAAAAGATTTTGGTGTGCGGGTTCCGCAAATTAGGACCCGCCCGCATCAGGAGGCCACGGGCTAGTTTTCTCCCGCCGAGCGGCCGCCACAGCCGGGGTCCGCCAAAGCAGCGAGCGCCCACTCTGCCGCCAAAATGGACTCTGAGGGTGCGCTGCCGGGTCTGGCAGTGCCTTTTCCCCTTCCGCACCGCCGAGAGCAGCCCTAAGGGGAGGAAGGAGCTCAGGTTCCCCTCCTCAGTCACTCGTCTGGGCTGGGGGGCGCCGGGCTGCCCAAACGCCGGCCTGCCGAAACGCAGAG